GGAATAATCTAGGGATGGTCGCTTCTCTTTTGTGGGAACTCCTTAGATTGTGTTCTAACTGCTGACTTCTAATATTGTTCGTGTTGGTCAAGTAGATTTTGTGTTACATTAGGTTAGTACTTGATAGTAATCTGCCAGTGATTACTCCCTAACATTATGTGCTTCCTTTCTTGCTTCACGTTTGTTATTTGTTAAGCATGTCCATCGTGCATGTCTGTGTGCAGTTGCTGTTTGGTGCTACTGCCGGGAAAGAAACTGTTCCAAGGGCACGTGCACAGTTGCACTCCTCCTTCAGTGATTCCTTTGATGTATCTCAAGAGAGGATAGTGATAACGAACAGTTCTGGAGAGAAACTCATTGGTGTTTTGCACGAAGCTGGATCTAAGGACATTGTAGTGTTATGCCATGGGTTTAGGTCATCAAAGGAAAGTAGAACCATAATGGGTCTTACTGATGCATTAACATCAGAGAAGATTAGTGTATTTCAGTTTGATTTTTCTGGCAATGGAGAAAGTGAAAGTACATTTCAGTATGGCAACTACTACAAAGAGGTGGATGATTTGCATAGTGTAATCCAGCATTTTAAGGAACACAAGCGTGATACTCGTGCTATTGCTGGCCACAGTAAGGGAGGAGATGTGGTCATCATCTATGGGTCCATGTATCAAGATGTATCTCGTATTATCAACATATCGGGCAGATTTGATCTGAAACGTGGAATTGCAGATCGTCTTGGCAGTGACTATATGGAAAGGATAAATCAACATGGTTTCATTGACGTGGCACAGAAGACAGGACAGTTCATGTACCGTGTAACCAAAGAAAGTCTGATGGATCGTCTTAGGATAGATATGCAAAGTGCATGCATGTCTATTGACCCTAATTGCAGGGTCCTGACAGTTCACGGTTCTGAAGATGATGTTGTGCCATCGGAGGATGCTCTGGAATTTCATAAATATATAGGCAACCATGAATTGCATATTATTGAGGGAGCTGATCATAGATATTCATCTCATCAGCTTGAGTTGGCTAACATTGTAATGAAATTTGTTACATCTGGCTGAAAGAACGATGTTGGAACAAATGTAACCATGATGATGCATGTTTGACCCAATGTTTTTGTGATTGGCGTTGCCATCAATTTCTTTCCAACATGTTACAAAATTACCCTGTCAAATTTAGTTGAGGTGTGAAGTGTTCATGCTTCTGGCACGGTTGATTGTATTTCCATCATACCTTAGTCAACTGCATTTAAAGTTTCATTGAGTCACTTGCAGAAGTTGCTGTTCTCTGTAGAACTAACACCATTGGTATCACTATTGTTTGTTTGCAGCTGGCACCCAAACAGAAGATCAGAATCAAGCTGAGGTCTTACTGGGTGCCATTGATCGAGGACTCCTGCAAGCAGATCATTGAAGCTGCAAAAACAACTAATGCCAAGACCATGGGTCCTGTTCCTCTGCCGACCAAGAAGAGAATATACTGTGTGCTCAACTCTCCCCACGTGCACAAAGATTCAAGGTTCCACTTTGAGATCCGGACACACCAGCGGTTGATTGATATCATATACCCGACCGCCCAGACGATTGACTCGTTGATGCAGCTCCAGCTTCCCGCGGGGGTGGATGTCGAGGTTAAGCTATGATCCCACTAGAGCTGAACTCTTTAAAATTCTATGTCATGTAATGCTCTTTTCTGCAGACTTCCTAGTTGGTCGATCTTTTTGCTGTCTGAGACTTGAAACATATGTAGAGCCTGTAACACGAAAAAACATGTTCAGATATGAAATATCATGCAGTTAAAGAAGTACCGAGCGAGGTTATTTGTTTCCTGTCCCAGAACTGATTCATCTAGAAATTGCTCCATTCATACTAGTTGCACAGATTTTGTGCGCTGATTCAACATATTGGCAAAGCTTTCTTATTTCTCCTGAAAATAGTAGAAGTTCGCAAGCTAGTTTGATCAGGGCATGTTCAAAGTTTTTGTTGGAATTTTATCATGTTCTATGTTTTGACCTAAAAACCACGGAAAGCTGTGTCTGATTGGTCTGTAGCCAGTCTAGCAGTAGCAGTACTTGTGGGAAAGCTGTTGTGGGCTAAAGACAGCTAGAAACCAGACATTCAGTCACAGGTATAAAGACAATGCAGAGTAACCGTCCTGGCGCTAATTTTTTTCTCGCTGTTGCACTATATTCATGGTGAAATCCATATGCATGAAAACCTGTTTAGATCTGTAATATCCTGCAGTTGAAGTACTGAAGGAGATTGTTTTGTTTTTCCTGTGGTTTGATCTGAATTCTTGCATTCCTCTAATTTTATTGATTCAACAGGACATGTCACTCGAATACTGTGTGTTTTCCTAGTGCCATGTTTAAAGAATCGTGCAAATCAAAAAGACATAAAGCAAATGATTTTTCCTTCCATTTTAACTTTGCTCCATCCATTTGACATCTTGTATGATTTCTTTGTTTTTTCTGTGGCTCCAAATTTTTCTTTCATCCACAGTCGTATGGTTTTCTAATTCTACATGATTCAAGAAGACATGCCACTTCAGTTACGCGTTTCTCCTATTCGTAATTTTGATAATCCTACGAACCAAAGACACCCTCGATCAAATGAATAGCGTTAGCAATGAAAAAAAAAATCTTATACTTGTACCTTTTCCTTCAGATGCACACAACAACAACAAAAAACGCTCTGGCGCTACGTAGTTTCTCCTGTTGCTTTCAAGGCGAAATCCATGTGCAGTTGATCAGATGAGATGTTTTTTCTTGTGGATCAATTCGTCTTCCTGGTTGAAAATAAAGAAATAAAAGTTGGTCTTTACTCTTTAGCAGCCTACTACACCTCGCAGCCCACATCCTAGCTCATCTGCTCGCGCATAGGATATTTCATATTTGCACTGCCATTGTTTGTTGTTTTCTCCATTCGAAACAATTGGAGCATTGTCTGTCGACACTGGCTAGCGTTTGTGGACCAACAAATGCATAATTTATCCATCCTTGGGTTGGGTGTGGCCCATACGAGCTTACCTGCCTCCTTCGATGCCTTTGGTGGACCTTGTCTCGTATTTTTTATCATTGTTTCCGGCTGCTTGTTTATCAGTGGAATCGCATACGTTTGCTCTCGAAATGCAGAACCACTGACCGGGATGTCACTGTCAAGTCACTGATCACAATCCTACCGCTTTGGCCTTTTCCTTTTTTCCTTTTGTATTTCTATTGTTGTTTCCGGCTGCTAGATCACTAGATGAGTCGGATGTTGGGGCTGCTCGCACACTGGAACCGCATATTGAACTCTTTTTTTTTCTCCGTCCTTTGGCATATTGAACTCTTGAACACTCCAAGTTTCAACGCTTGAAACGTTCTTATTTTCATCATTTTCTGATTACAGCAACCCGACGTCGATCCACTCCAAAATAAATAAAATTCAGCGATGTCGATCGGCCGAATAGTAGCAGCACTAGCGCCAATTCCCTGCAAAACGCAGGGGGTTCCACCCCCAGCCAAACCCAAGCACATATGGGTCACAACAGTGGCGAAATCGCCATCGTGTGCACTGTTTTTGCCCTCCGTTTGCGTCATGCATGCAGCAAAATTCAATGCGTGCTGGGGCCTGGGGCCTTCTCCTCCGAATTTCTCCGGCCATTTCCTTTTTGGAAAGAGAGGGAGGGAGAGATCTTGCTCGCGGCGGCGGCGGCGGCGGCGGCTTATCGGTTCCGAGTGGCGAGTGCGCTATCTGTTTGAAATTTAGCTACCGCGACGACGCAGGCGTCGCCTTCACTTGGACTGGAGTGGTGTCACTTGCTACGTTGGCGCCAATAATCCAAGGGCTGGATCGGATGTACCCAACAACTCTGGGATCCGGGCCGGGTGCACGCTGGTACCATATCTCACGCCGGACGTTGGTGAGGCTGTTCGTTTGGGGTAACCGCTCGTGTCAAAAAAAAGGTGCGCCGCAGACTGGCGATCTCCATTTAAACATGATCTCAGATAGAACGATGAGATCGAATTGCGGAGGCGCTATCCACACATATAAATAGTGGGAATAGCACCGATGGGGTTATGGAATAAATAGTGGGTGTTGCTGATAATTGTTTCACTTGGGGCGTGTTGTTCGGTTGTCAGCACTGATTTGCCTGCATTGCATGACAGCATGAGATCCTCTACTGGGTTGGCTGAGGTAAAACAATCCAAAAATCTGGACCTGCATATAATTTGATTGCCCGCATTTAGAGCATTACTAGTAGTACCCCTAAACCCTCAAACCCTCAAAAATAACCGTTTTTTTCCGGGTTACAACAAAAAAAAAGCAAAGACTAGAACCCCTAAATCCTCAGACCCTCAAAAAAAGTAAGGGTCCAACCCTCAAATTCAATTTCAATCTGTAGAAGTGAGGGTTGGAGAGGGGCGCTCGACCCCAACCCGCACTCCCTTCCCCCGTCGCGCGGGAGGGAAGTTTCCGTTCCCAACCTCCCG